GCATTTTCACTAACTATGGTGGAGGAGGAGCCCTCCCTTGTAACAAGGACTGAAACAAACAAGAAGAAAAATATTTACTAGTTTTTTTAAATACAAGTCATTGAGGAAGAGGCCTTTTTCCAGTGCCTTCTGGCACTCTCAGAAATACATATATTATACATATGTGTATATATACATATACACATATATATATATAATAAATATGAGGCTTTTGACATTTCAACAACTTCTGGTTATTCCCATCTACAAAGTACAGAGAAGGGCACCTTGTTGAAATTATGCTATACAAAATAAAGTTGTATTGCTCAAAATGCATAGGTAAGCTCTAAGAGAAAAGATTTCAAAACCCACAAATGGTATTTTTATCAGCTTAATTGCAAACATATTGCTGTAGCTTTACAACAAATACTTAATGAAGGCAATGCATATTTTCCATACCAGCATATACCTTCACACCAGGACTGAGCAGAACACAAGCAGTTAACAGTAAAAAAAAATCTACCTAAAAACATGTATAGAAAAGAAAATGAAACTCAACAAGCCCAAGCAGCTAGACATCTGTAGGAATGAGCTGAAAATCATGTACATTAGTTCTTTTTATTTCTTATAATTGATATATTTTCTAGGCACTCTAAGAAAGATGCTCTGAGTTCAAGCACAAAACTTTGGGCAGGAACAACTTGCCTGTTTCTATTGCCCTTGACTTCCTCCACATCTGCACAGAATTCCACGCTCGTGCAGAATGACGCTTCGTCCACCCTACCGAGCTGGATTAGACTCTAAACCCCTTCTCCCCAAAGACGGAGCCCTCGCCCGTGCCCCAGCCCTCCCTGGCGCCCCATGCGCTGCTGGCAAAGGGCCGGGCAGAAGGGGAAGCGCTGACGGATCGTGTGGCTGGGCACAGCGCTGGGATCCAGCGGAGGTGAACGGATCTGCAGCATAGGGAGGATGTCAGGACTCCCCCCTGGAACGTGCAAATCCATTCGGGGCAGATCATTTGGCTGCAAAGATCTTCTTTGCATTCTGAAAGGCACTGCTTGTTTAATCAACTGCATGGCACAAAAAGCAAGGAAATCACTGCACAGAGTCAATCTCTAAAGCACTGATGAGAGAAGGATGTACAGTTCTGTTAAAAAAGAGATGGTGAGATTAAAAGAGGCTGCTTTGCACTCAGCAAGGCTATTGATTTTGCTGGAAGATTCTTCTAGTCACTTATTTACTGTGCGTATACAATATACTATGTGAAGCACAGAAAACATTATGTGCATTAAGAAGCAAACTTGCCTTAATATGATAGCCTGCAATGGCTCAGAAAAACCATTACAAACGATTATGACAATAATCTGCAGATTAAGGACTCTCTAAGTATGTGCTGACATGATAAATCATATCATCTGTAGTATCTAGCCCTCCAGAGAGCCCGAGAGCAGCTCCGGCAAAGCCGGCAGGACAAAAGGAGGAATTTTGCCTAGACAGGGGCTTTCCACGAGCCCGGCACACACCATCTCTGGGGCTGCTGCCAGGGCCGTGGCAGGGCGAGCAAGCGGCGCCTGCTCCTGCCGCACGTGCAGGACGCCCTGCCGGTGCCAGCTCCACGCGACTCCTGCCTTCGTGCTGCCGCTTAATACGCGTGGCCTCTCGGGGGAAGCTTCTGTGTGATCGGGTGCATCTTAAAAGAGCATATCCCACATGTTTTCACGCAGATATGAGCGCTGGCCTTTTATTTAATTGCAAAATCAGTAGAATGAGGATTATAAATACTTATTGTTAATCCAGGGTAAAATGCGCTTGCTGCGGCTTCAGACACAAATTCGCTTTGGCATATGCGGTATTAGGCAGCCAGAGCAAACGAAGCTAATTTAATCAACCTCTCTAATTATGCCTTATTTGTTAAAATCTTTTCTAGAAGACAGAAAAAAAGAAGACAGGGCAGCATTCAATAAGCATTTTACATGGGGCCCTAATAGGTCTTTGCTGGGAATACTGCTTAAAAGCTGGGGCGCCCTGGAAGCCAGGGCAGCTCCACGCAGGGCAGCACACGGCGGTGTTCATGGCACTCGTCTCTGCGCAGCACGCGCGTGTCCTCGGTGCGAGGCGCCCGCCGCTCCCTATCACATGGGACACAAGACAAGGGGCTAACTAAAACAAACAGCGCAACACAACCAAGAAGGAAGAGGAACAAAGAGGGCTGAACCTCAAAACAGCTGTAAGAGCGTTTCTGGAAGAACTTCATAGGCTCAGGTGTTGCCCGTGTGCAAGTGAGGACCAGCGTTTTGCGTCTCAGCCCTGCCTGCTGAGGACACAGAGCTGGAGCCCATGCCTGCTGCGGCAGTGGTAACGGGATGAAGCTCCAGCACTGCACGATAACCTTTCGTATGCTACCTCAGCGCTGCTGCTTCCAGCACCATCTGCCAGCAGCAAATGCAAACGCTCGTGGAAATGACTAAGGGAAAGAAATCATTATCCCAACTAATTTAATACTCACGAAAGGTTTGATTTGAATTTATCTATCCAACGGTTCTGTTTGTGAAAAAGGAAAGCAGAAAGGCATGCAGTGCATTTCTAGTACCACCTCCAGAGAACAGTTTGCCTGAGCACACCCCAAAATGCCAGCTGAACGGCTAAATCCTCTAAAAATCACTGACAGACCCCAGCCCTGCTGATGTCAGGGTTTGGTCAGTAACCCAAAGCAGCACCTTCCGCATGCGCATCCGAAGGTGAAGCTCAGAGTTGATAAGCGAAGACTTAGGAATTTCTGTCTCTGAATAAGAAAAAATGGATTTGCAAGTGTTTTGTCCTTTTTTGTGGTTGCAGAATCTTTGCCATTCTCCTTTAAAGGGGAATTTTGTGCTCCCTACACAGCATTTGTATTAAATAATATCATGGTGTCCAAGACAAGCGTTCACTTAGTTACTAACCACGAGAAAATGATGCGTCTGGTAATACTAGAGAAGTGCAACTGCGATGGACACACTGAGGGAATGAGCAGAAGTTATGCAAATCCATCCTGATTTACACGCATGGAAAGGAGGGGCGTTTGGAGAAATGGGCAGGCTCTGTGGGGAGCCAGAAAAGAAATAAAAGCTCCATGAACTACACTCATCCACAGCCTTTTGCCTCAGGGGAAGCTCTGCCAGATCAGGAACCATCAACTCTTCTGCCCTCTTCTGGCATCCTACCTCCGTCCCAGGCACTGTTTTTAGTTAATTAGTTCAGTTATCCTAATGTCTGCCTCCAAGACCTGTGACACAGAAGATGAAACGGGTAATGACATAGGATGAGCAGAACCCAAGCTCCGACTATTTAAAGCAGCAGCCCCCAGCGTTTGGCTGCAGCATGGAATGGAAGCAAGGGGCCCTTGGCACGTCCCTTCTGCTCCGACCCGACCAAATGCCCATCTGTCCTGTCACCAAAACGCAGCCCTCCCTGCGCAATCCCAGCACAGCTCGGAGGAAGCTGGGATCCTAGTCCAGAAACCACAGAGCCCACACAGAGCGCACAGCAGCTGGGGCTGGAAGGGACCTCTGGAGATGATCCAGAGCAAGAGGAAGCAACAGCAAAGACAGTCATCAGCTTCAGATGAAGAAGCCAGCATTTCCAACAAGGCAAATTGAAAGACATACTTATTAAAACCCATCTTCCAAAAGTAAAAATAATACATATATACACACACACACACACGTATGCATTTGTGTGGTATGTCTGTATATACATTTATATATATAAATAGAGATATAAATAGATACATATACATGCCACAGGGAGTTACTTTTGGCATGGTTATATGACTAGGAGAGGAACAAATACCAATAAAGTAGCACTAGAAGCACAAGCAAAGGCTGAATTCCTCATAATTAAACAAGAAACCAGTAAGTAGAGAGCAGTAAATAAGATTGCCAGTATTTTAGCAAGAGTGTAAAAAAGACTGCAAGCCCAACGTCTTTAATGAAAGCAAGGGCGGAGAGTGCGAGGAGGGAGACAGGTACTCAAAGGAACAGTCCCACCCCACAGCCAAGCCAAGCCCCAGAGTTCATCTATCCCTGCCTGGGAGCAAGTGCTTCAAGGAGTACTGCAGCAGGAAACTCCAACATGAGACATAAAGCCTGCAGCATGGAAGAAAAGCCCTTTCTCACAGAGACACTTTACATTTAGGCTTACCCTTGTTTTGGCATCAATTTTAGCTCCTCGATCAAGTAGGAGTTTGACCATATTTGCATTTCCTCTCTTCGATGCAACATGCAGTGGTGTGATATCATTCTGTGGAAATAAAAAAAAAAAAAACCCATGAAAGTAAATTTCCATATCCATTTCTGCTATGAACTCCATGATCACACAGCTCACAAAAGGCATTATGCCCACTTTGCAAAAACATAACACTGTTTTATTTCCCCAAGAGCACGAGCACAGAGAGAAGCTGTGTTTACCCACATGCATGAATTACTGGCCTAGCACCCTCTATTAAGACAACAAACCTTCAAGCTGTGGTGGGAATTATAGAACAAGACACTGTGGCTGTGCCTCAGTTCTCAGCTTTTGTATAAGGTTCACATTTCTATAACTTTATTGACTAAACCCTAGCAATTCCATTCAGCTGGTGCTGTTTCTGAAGGTGCAGCAATAAAGATCCCTACCTCGCACCTTCATTAGTGATGTAGGTTATCATGAGAATTAAATAAAATCACTGTATCTGTAGCTCTGCTTCAGGAGCAGCAAGGTGCCGAGGCTATTTATTTCTGAAAATTATCAGTAAACTCTAAGCACCTGGGTTTCGTAGTTACCTCCCTGGAACTTCCCGCCCGCCGTTCATGCCTCTCACCCACACCGCCCGGCGCCTGCAGGCCGGGGTGTGCGTGTGCCTGCACCAGCTCGGCAGGGCAGCAGCGCGGGGCTCTGCTGCACGTTGGGGACAGTTACATAAGCGCCGCGCGCACGAGCGCTGCTTAGCAAGATGTGGCTGGGACGTCTCCTCATGCTCTGATGAACCCTTTATCTCGCGGCGCATGAAGGCCACATCCTGGAGATATTTGATCATATGGAGCCAAGTAAAAATAAAAGGATGTATACAGAGCTCAGCTACGGTACGAAGACAAACAGAGTTTTACAGAAGGTGCTTCCGTGTGTTCGGGGACGGTGCAAACAGCCGGCTGGAGAAAAGCACCTTCCCCCGGCCAGGCAGCGCGCGGCGAACCCGGGGAGCGTCCGTCCTGCGGCCGACTGACCTGGAGGGGCCCCAAGGGCCCCGGCGCGAGAGAAGTATCTGACCCGGCCAACAGAGCGTTTAACAGCGCTCCCTCAGGGCTGCACGTGAGCGGAATGATGGAAAAATGGTACCATAAAAAGGCAAATCCCCACTCGGATGCAACAAGCTGACTCCAGGTTTAACAGTTGAGTACCTAATCCAGTATGCTACATTTTCATTCATGCACAGTTTCACTCTGAAGCTAATCCACATCTCCTAGAAAGCAGTAATTAATATTATCACACAGGTAAAGTACAGCTTAGCAAGGAGAAAATAGAATTCTTTCTCCGATATCAATGATAACAGTGGCCTCAAAGTTATTACAATTTCTAGGTAGTTCCTCCTTTCTCTAAAAACTAAATAAAACAAAGAGATGCTTAAAACATTGAAAGTTAAACTAATCCTGCTAGGCACATAGTGCTGTCCCCCAACACACAATTTGTAAGTTAGCGAGACAGAGGGCAAAGAAGCGAATCATTTAGCATTAGTAGAGAACATAACTTTCACGTCTTCAAGCAGAGGGTAGTTCAGGTAATCCAGACCCAAGAACCAACCTTTTCTACTTGCTGAGGCTGACAGACAGAGACGTTAACTCAGTCTAAAAGACCTTCTTGCCCTTCACCCAGGACAAGTGTTAATATGTCAAACTAATTTACTAGTATTATACACAGGCTAAAAGAAGAAATGCCTTTTCTAAGCACGAAAGAAGAAGTAGAGGACGAAGGGATAGGGTTACAAAAGGTAAACCTAATACATGTTATGAGTCCAGTTCTCATTCATCTTGACAGCAAACTACATCCATTTAGTGCAGCATGGGAGAGTTTAACCACATCAGAACAGGCTTTCGATTAACCCTGCACCAGTCTGATTTTTCAAAACTCCTGTTCCTTAAATGAAGGAGAGCTGATTCTAAGAGGCACGTACAGACACTGGAAGACCCACGTTTCAGCCCCAAGAGAGATGATGGCTTCCTCTCGGCAGTTAGGCCTTAGGCCATGCTGCTTGCTTGCAGCAGGAAAATAACCAGTTTCATGGTGAAGGAGCAGTCCTTCTCAGACAACCTTTGCATTTCTGGGTATAGCGAGAACAACCAAAGCCGTTCCCTGTGCTGGTGGGACCCCGAACACCTGCCGGGAGCTCACGATGCCATTCGCACGGGGAAACTTGCTAGCACCTACGAAGGACTGAACTCACCTCTGCAAGCTGGAGAGCTGGCAGCCCATCTCACCTCCAACTGCTCACCCCCCTTCATGGAAAGCATGTGAGCTTAATGCCTTTGGGAAGCTGAAACCCTGAGTTACAGTTGGTTGAAAAAAGACAGCAAGTTCACATCAGGTAGAGATGAATGCATAAAAGATGCGCTCAAGGGAAGCACAGTTTGTTAGGAAAACAAACTAGGCAGAGGACATCAACACAGCTGCTCTGAAATAATGCACTGAACAGAAGGATGTAAGGATATGAATCCCTACATACAAAGTACCCGTCCTGACAAAACTCAGTTCCCCTTTGCTAGGAAAAGGGCCCTGCAGAAGCAGTACATGCCCATTCACTAGGAGGGAAGATGCAGTGTTAGTCATATTTTACTGTCCTAGTCATACAGTGCAGGAAAAGAATTAGCGAAAAAGACAAAAAAGAACAAGCATGTTTAGCCTTATTCAGCCCTAAGACAGCTCAGGGAAATAATGTAGAGAAACAAAGAAGAATAAAAAGAGGGAACAGGTCTCTTCACAAACAAATTTTCCCATTTAGTGACTCTTGCTGGCACTGGACAATATGAAGCAATAACTCTGCTGGCTGCACGTCCTGACCCCAGCACAGGTGACAGAAGTGTTACTTGAAAGCTTGAATAACTGTTTGCTGGAGTGCAGGGCAAGCAACTTGTCTTCAGCTAACACTGCACTGCACCAAGGCGTAACAAATTCTACCTGGGGTATCACACATGCTGCCCCTTGCCATCACTGCACGTGCATTTGTGACTATCAGCATCAGCTGCAAATAAACCTCAGACAGCAGAGTCACCAAAGCTTCTGATGACAAAACACATAGCAACCCAAGTCGCGTGTACTTGTCAGAGGAAACTAGAGATAAAAATAAAGCTCCCTCAGCAAGTTTGCTGATGATAAGAAACTGGGAGAAGTAGCTGGGCGTCATGGTGGACGACAAGTTGACCATGAGGCAGCAGTGTGCCCTCGTGGCCAAGAAGGCCAATGGGATCCTGGGCTGCATTAAGAAGAGCATCTCCAGCAGGTCGAGGGAGGTGATCCTGCCCCTCTACTCAGCCCTGGTGAGGCCGCATCTGGAGTATTGTGTCCAGTTCTGGGCTCCACAGTACAAGAGGGATGTGGAGCTGCTGGAGAGAGTCCAGCGCAGGGCCACAAGGATGATCAGGGGCCTGGAACATCTGCCCTATGAGGAGAGGCTGAGGGAGCTGGGCCTGTTCAGCCTGGAAAGGGAAGGCTTAAAGGGGATCTAATCAGTGTCTAGAAGTACCTCAAGGGAGGCAGTGAGAAGGATGGTGCTGGCCTCTCTTCAGTGGTGGCCACCGACAGAACTAGAGGTAATGGCCACAAACTGAAGCACCAAAAGTTCCACAGGAACTCAAGGAAAAAATTCTTAACAGTGAGGGTGACAGAGCACTGGAACAGGCTGCCCAGAGAGGTTGTGGAGTCTCCTTCTCTGGAGATCTTCAAAGCCCACTTGGACGCAGTCCTGTGCCACGTGCTCTAGGTGACCCTGAGTGTGCAGGGGGGTTGGACTAGATGACTTCTAGAGGTCTCTTCCAACCTTAAGCATTCTATGATTCTATGATTCATAATATGTGCAGCTTGGGTGCAGGTTATTAGCACTACAGCTCTGGTATCGGCAAACAGTGTAGCCACCAAATGTGAGGTTCTGCGCTCCTCAGTAAATCAAAAGCATCTGCTGTCTCTTCAATCTATTTTTATCTGTTTGATCTTCTATATACTTCGCCCTTTGTTCTTAAGATAGAATAGTAAATCAGAAAACATTTGAGGATGTTTTCCTGCAGTAACAAATCTGAAATGACTTCAAAAAGTTGCCCTAAAAAATGTGGTTCAGATCTGGAATGTCTATTGCAGTGCTCCTTGGCCCTCTCTTTAAATATCAAATGCCGGATAATGTCTCTCTAATGTCTAGTAGACCCCTGAGCAGGAGGATCATTTCCCATCCAGCTGGAGAGTTAAAATATTCTGCAGGGAATATGAAATACAACTTGTGAGAACAACAACTTAATACTATACAATAGATGTTGGGAGGACAATGAACTACCGCAGGTCCTTCTTTCTTCCCTGGGCTACCTGACCTGAAGCACTGTGAAACCGCACGTAGGCCAAAGTGAGGGACTGGATGCAGGCAGTTTTTGCACCTGCCCCATGTTGGGGATGCTGCTCTTCCCTGATCCCCAAGAACGGCCTGCCATGGCCCAGACCCTCTCAGACAGGGCTTGTGCCTTCCTCTGGGGTGTCACTGGCCAGAAACCGGGGGGGGGGGGGGGGCAAGCAGAGGCCGGCTTTGCTGCTTGGTGGCTTCTGCTTACGCTGCTCAGAGGAGACACGAAGCCTTTTCAGCTGCGTCTCTATCTACAGCATCACAAGGAACATTGGGAACGTGGAGCTACCTGTGCTGAGCAATAAGCCACCTACGTTTCCCATCTGAAATGAGATCAGCTCCCCTCTGACACTTGCCACCATCCATCACAGCTCACTGCAGGAGTCTAAGACAAGTCTTATCATTACACATTAGCAACTCAAAAGATTAGAAAGTTAGAAAAAAAAAGCAATTTAAAATCACCAGACTGCAAGCACTATACATCTGCTAGCTTTATTTCAATGTATTTAGCAAATGAAGAATTCCCTATGGTACTGGGTATGATATGCTGTCCTCTGGGATCACCTCACTCTCCAAACAGGCTGGGACTACAAGCTTGCTAATAATCAGGGAGAAAGGTAAGTATTTGTACTTGTAGAATCGCAGTGGGCACAGCTTAAAATAAGTTAAA